TGGGTGCCGGGGTCTCATATGCCCTGCGACGGCCTGACGAAGTGGAGCCACAACAAGGTCCTCGTTGAGCTCATGACGTCTGGTGTTTGGTCACTCAAGGATACTCCCGCCGCCCAAGAGTTACGTCGAGTGGCGGCCGAAAAACGGGCTGCCTGGCGTAAGGCTCAAAAGACAAGTGCTTGAGCCCCCCCTTTTGCAAGCTGCACGCGAACTCTGGACCAGAGGGGGCTTGACTGAAAGCGAGCATTCCAGGTCCTTGCGCAGCTGTGTCTAGAGCTTTTGCAGAGTGCGACACGTCTTTACCGAAGCCGCTGTTGGCTGGAACCGGAGCAAGGAAAACAGTGTGTGAAGCGCGTGCCCGCGCATTTCTGTGCAGCTGTCAGATTTCGCTGTTACATGTCGATCGACTTGCCGGCCTGCTACATGCACTGGCCGATGCCGAAGGCGAGGGGTCCGCGGATGCCGCCGCCCTCAGATCTGCTCTTGGTGGGGATGGCGCTGCAAACGTTTCTCTAAGCCGCGCACGGTCTTGTTTTGTGGATGGCAGCGGCTACCTCCCGGCATTAGGCCAGGCAAAGCCGAAAACCTGGCATGCCGAGGGCTCAGGCATTGCAAGACGAACTCCGCCATCCCGTGCCAACACTGCAGACGGTGCCCGTGTTCGTACGTGCTGGCGTGCGCCGAGCACTCGCCAGCAACCTCCAACACCTCCGTACTTACAGCGGGCCACCTGACGACCGCGCCCGAGCACGCGCGTGGAAGCTGTTCCTGCTTATACACCCCGCATGCTCCCCTTCTGGCAGATGCGCGCGCCACACGGGCCTCACCCCGGCCAGCGACCGATCTCGATGCAGAAGCAGTTTCCGAGCGACGGCGACCGGCCGCCTGCACGCACGTACGCCGAGGCGAGCTGTCACGTGCCCGCCAAGTGCTCACCGCTGCCGAGCTCGCGCCAGGCGATGAGGCGACCCGGGCTGCTTTGACTGACCCAGCCAAACGGCCGCCGCAGCCGCGTGCGCCCATCCCGCCTAAGTTGCTGCACTTCCAACCGCCAACGCCCGTGCGTCTCACGTCCGCCGCGGGCGCCCATAGCCTCCGCGAAGCCAATCGTGGGAGTGCATCCGGGCTGTCCGGCGCGCGTGCTGAGCACTACAAACTGTTGTTGGGCCATGCCGATGACATGGAATTGCTTGCGAAGGCGGCCAATGCGCTGGCGCAGGCCGAAGTCCCTTGAGACATTGCGGAAGGTGTTGCGTTGACCCGTATGACTGCGATTCGCAAACCAGGAGGTGGCGTGCGTGGTATTGCAACGGGAGACATGTTTCGTCGGCTGGTTTCAAGCTCGCTTGCTGCCACGTGTCACCAGGCCATACCAGTTCGCACTTCGCACCCGTGCAGGAGTGGATGCGCTGACGGCCCGACTCCGCGCAACCCTCGAGAACGATGCCCGCGCCACTGTCGTGTCGCTCGGGCGCAGTGCCTACGACTGCATTTCCCGTGCCGCGTTTCTGAGCAAGCTGCGCGAGGTTGCACCCGAACTCGTGCCCTTCGCACGCCTCTTTCATGGCCGGACTTCGGAATACCAGTGGTGGGACGATGACGGAGATGATGACGGGGTCCGCCATGGCATACGCCAGGCGGAGGGATGCGAACAAGGGGACCTCCTTGGCCCCAGCCCTGTTTGCCCTTGGCCAGCGCGAGGCGTTATGCCGGGCAGACTCGCAGCTGCGGCAGGGTGAGTCGCCCATGGCCTTTCTCGACGACCTCTACGTCCTCCTGCCCGACCCAACCCGAGCACGCGCCACCTTGGACCTCGTGACGGGCGCGGCAGAGAGGCATGCAGGCATATACTAACTTGGGCAAGACCCGCGTCTTCAACTACGACGGTGGCCCCGCACCGCCAGGGATCGCCGACCTTGGGTCCGAGGTCTGGCATGGCAGCCAGCCCTCCCAGATGCGTGGCTTCGTTGCACTCGGCACCCCACTCGGCACGCCGGAGTACGTCCGCGCCTGGGGCGCCGATAGGTTCGCAGCCGAAGACGCGTTGCACTCCTGCGCTCCCAGGCTGGTCGGCACGCCGCCGCTTGGCTCCAGGCCATCCCTATGCAGCGATCCCCACACCTCGCTCCGACGGGATGGCCAGCCACGCCCACGGGCTGACCAACCGGGCCTCGCCCTCGACCA